ATGATAGTATTCCAAATCTATGCAGTCATCAATATCATACATTTTAAATTTTTGGTTAATGTACTAAAATAATTTGAATGTTATTACATGTATTATTAAATTTTGTGTTACATGCATATTTGAACAAATTATGTATTTATAATTTTCTGTTTATGAATTTAAGTTCGCTTTTATTTCTTTTAACATTTTTTATTTAATGATAATAATCAATATTAAAAAAAATTTAAAAAAAAGGTAAAATTCTTAATTTAGAGGTGTTTGCATTTAAAATCACCACTAAATACTAAATTTTAGCGGCGTTAGTAGTAAAAAATGTTGCTAAAATTAAGCATTTAGTAAAATTTTTAAACACAAATGCCGTTAAATAGAGCGGCATTTTATAATACAAATACCACTAATTTAACAGCATTTATGCATAAAAACGCTACTAATTTAATGACGTTTCTTTAAAAATGTCGTTATTTTTCTTGACGTAGGTATAGCTAACACTTTTAATAGCATTTTTGACAAACGCTGTGAATCTTTTAGTGACATTTTAAAATGCTACTAAACGTGAAAAAAAAAAAAAAGCCACTAAAGATATAATCCCTTATAGTGAATTTTATGTAAAAGTACTTGCCCTTTATTACAAAATATTTGAATTTATATATATATATATATATAATTAGATCAGCATTATTAATTCAACTTTTACCAGACGAGATTTTTATGAAATTATATTAGAATGATTAACTTTATAATTTTATGTGAGTAGATGGATCATTTATATAATTTAATAATTAATTTTATCCATTCAAAATATCATGTCAGCAACATTAATATCAAATCAATTAAGTTAATGTCAATGTTATCAAATAAACGACCACATTAGCATTTGTAAAGGAAAAATATTGACTGAAATAGTGATTTAATTAAAATTATCAAATTAAAATAATATGATGACTAAATTTATTTGAATTACAGTACATAAAGTAAATTTTAAATTTTGACAGAGTTTAAAAACTTATGACATAATTGAACTAAAAAATATATATTTGAACAACAAAGTTTCCAAAGTTTTATTAAACAAATTCAACGAGAAATCCATGTAACATGTCTCCAGTATTTCAAAACAAATCAAGAAAAAGTTTTTAAAGAATCAAAACCTCTCCGCAACATAAAGATCAAAAAATTAAAAAAATTTGAAGGCTCAAAAATGCCGAAGAATTTCAAGAAATCAGATCTCAATATTATCAATAAATTGGTAAAATAATTGAAATTTCAAGAATTCGAAGACTTTGGTTAAATTAAGTTCCAAAATTTCGAAGAAATTGCTATATGATCTTGTCCGATGAAAAAAAAAAAAAAACAGAAGATTAATTCTGCTCTATTAAAAAAAAAACTCTGAAGAGAACTTTTAAGAAGAAAATAATAATAGAATTTTTTTTATTTAGGATATTCGAAGATTGTACTTTAAATTCTTAATTAATGAAATTATTTAATTTTTAATATAAAAAAGGCTATAGCTGAAGATGAGAAATGAAATCGCAGGTGTTGATGAGATTTATATTTCATATTTTTTAAATATCATTTTTTAGTAATAATTACATGAATTAATTAAATTAAATTTTAAATTCAATAAAATTATTTGTTTGGTTATAACTTTTCTTGTCTTATTTCATATTCAAAATTTGTGTGTACATCTATATCAAAAGAGGATCCTTCTAATTAAGTACTTGAATGTATTTTTAACCCAAACATTTAGTAAAGAAATAATAAGCTCCAACTTGCAACTTGAAGAATGAGTTCTTAGTTCCTGGCCAAAATGGAGAGAAAAAAAAAAAAAAACAAAAAACAAAAGGAGTTTGAATTCAACAATCCAAAACAAAACGAACCAATTAATGGTTCCAATAGCAGGGTTGATTGGGGACCAAACTTGGACATTAATTTTTAAGCCCGTGCCTAACATAATTAATTATTTTATTAATAAATAATATCTATTTATTTAATTTTAATAAATATTTCCATTCGAGGGAAAACTTCAATATTCAAAATTTTCTATATATTTAATTTAAAAATATTTCTATATGCATACTTTGATTATAGTAATTGATGTAGCTCTCCCTCTATGTATCGGTAGAAGTAATTCTCGATACAATTACTTAGAAATTAGAGTAGAAATTTTTGATATTTTAAAATATATATGTTAAAAATTTAAATTACTCCTCGAACTAAAACTATGTAAATTTTTATATGTGATTTCATAATTTAATTTTATACATTATAAGGAGTTATTAGAATTACATTGTTATTTATTTATTTGTTATATACACCAATCATTATTTATAAATACCAATCATTACTTATAAACCCTTAAAACAATAGGTTTGTCATAACGATTTTATTTACAATAATTTAAATTTAAAACAAAAACCAAATTAATTATCCAACATTTTCAATAAAACTCCAAATTTCCAACTAATTATTAAACACAATTTCCTTTTTTTAGCAAATTTAATTCAACTTCTCTCTACTTTATTCTCCACTTTTAATTCTATAGAGATCCTCTCTTGTTATCTTGTAAATATTGAAGAGCAATTCGTAAATTGTTAGAAAATACTCTAACTTTTAATTTTAAATTTTAAATTTTATTCTTTTAAAGATATATTTTTTTTCTTATTTTGAAGAAAAGTATAATGTTTAACCATTGATTTATTTATAAAATGAACGTCATTCTCAAATTTAAATAAATTTTTTATTTGATGTTTTTTTTTTTATACATTCATTTATGAATTGACAAAATTTATAATTTTTTATAAATTTTTTTAGTAATATATGCTTGCATATATAAATATATATATTAATAAATATAATAAAATATGTCTTAATAAGATAAATATAATATCGATTGACCTTTTCAAAATTAAATATATAATAAAATATGTCTTAATAAGATAAATATAATATCGATTGACCCTTTCAAAATTAAATATCTAAATCTGCACCGACAAAATGATATGTGAATGTAACCAAGTCTTAGAAAGAACATATGCAAAGTTTCAAATTTCTTTCATTTCAAACGTGCTTGGTTTTTGGATTTGGTTGGCTCCCAAAGTCTATTTTATTAGATTTGGGATGCTCTTTCGAGATACTATGTTTGTTGGCATGTCAATTCTCATCCGACTTTAGAACCAAAAATAATAAACCACTATCTAAGATTCATGTATTCTGCTAATTAAAAAGAGTCGTTGCAGACTGATAATCTGCTTTTACACCAAACTATTTTCTTTATTCGGCCATTCCCCCAACCTCAGTGCCTACTTTAATTATCTCTTACTTTTTCACTGTACGATTCTTGCCCTTTTTCTATTGCTTTTGCTTATTCGCTTGTAATCAGCTCTCCTAATTTGGTCCTACCATGTCCTTAAAGTTAAACCAAATGTATTACTACCATAATCACTCACGCTCCTATAGCTTTGCTATGGATTTAAACTATACAACACTCCAAAACAAGCACAACCAACCAATCCTAAAAATAAAAAATTTATAAAAATGTATATAAAAGAGTATATTAGCAAAAGTATATGTTAAAATAATAATAACTTATTAAACCATGGATCGAGTTAAGTGGATCCAAATTCATTAGTACATATACACACACCCACACTTTTGATTTATATGGAAAAGAAAATTTAACATCAAGAAGTTCGTCGAGTAGCTATCCAAATTTACTGAATAAAGCTTGTAGAGGTAATAGGGGAGCCAATAATTTTTTTTCCTTTAAATAATTAAAATAGAATTTAAAATTGGGAATTCCATTTACAAGTAAAGAGTGATGACCATGGAAATGATATATTTTAATCACTTAATTAATGATTGTAACATTCTATGAAAAAATCAATTATTTTAATAATTTAAGATGTTTATTCTTGCTTAATCATACTCATTGTACACAAAAAAAAAAAAAAAATTATTCACCATATAAAAAGTTGATCGGAAGTGTTACATATAATATTAATTTCAAGAATCCATTTTTAACACAATGAAAGTGAAATTATTTAACTTCATAAGTAAAATTAAGAGGTTATCACATATTCCTAATTTTTTAATTTTTTATTATAACTTAAAAATATATGTTATTTTGCTAATTTTTTAAATTTAAAAATTCCACTACTAATAAATTGGATAATTTCTCGTTAAATAAATAGGAACATTAATTTTACAATTTCTTTTTGATATATGCCTTATAATATTTATCAAAAAAATCGTTTAAGCCCTTCAACATATTTTTAATCCAACAATTTAATTAGTGAAGAAAAATAATAATAAGTATCAACTTGCAAATTCAAGATTTTTTTTTTTTAAATTTTAAAACCAACAAATATTAAAATGTTAATTAGCTTGCAATTAACAAATCAGAATCACTATTTTATATGTCAGGAGTGGATTACAAAAATTTTAGAAGTATATTTGGAGTTCCTTACACCTCAATTTATATAACATTATATATGTTTAATTCTTAATTTATAATTTAATTATAATGTTTATGATTAATTAAATGACCACATGTACAAATTATAACCCTACTTGTAATTTTATTATACATCATTGTAATTCATAAATTTTTGGATTAAGTCGTTTTATCATTTTTAGATGAAAGAAACAGACAAACACCAACTAATACCTTAATTAAACCCATATTATATATATATACATATATATATATTTTTTTTTTGTGAAATTACCCATGTTATATGTAATTGATTGTAAATAATATTTCAAATTATAACCTTTATCCGTTGGATTATAGTAATGTCTTGGATTTTTTAAAACATGTTGGGTGTGATTGGTGTAACGTTGATGTTAGAAAAAAAAAGTGGATTAGAGAAATGTCTAAGAGAGAGAAAAAAAAAACTTAAAATTAGAAAAATGAAAATTTTGGAAGACAATGAAAGCGAAAAGAAGGAAAGAAATTAATTAAAAAAAAAAAAAAAACATAAAAAGGAGTAAAAGGACCGGTTTTGGCTCCTCGTTTTTGACACGACATCACAACCCAATGACCCAAAAAAACCTTTTAACTGGTTTTGCATCATTGAAGCCTGTAAACAGAAACTTCTTGAGCCTTTCACCGACACAAAAATGGCAGAAAAGAGAGAAAATGTGGTGATGTTCCCCTTCATGGCGCAAGGCCATATCATCCCTTTCCTAGCGTTAGCCCTTCATATTGAAAAAACAGGGAAGTATAAAATAACATTTGTCAACACCCCTCTTAACATCAAGAAACTGAGATCATCCCTGCCTCCAAACTCCTCTATTCAATTCCTTGAAATCCCTTTCAATAGCTCCGACCATGGCCTCCCTCCCAACACTGAAAATTGTGATGTTGTTCCTTACCATTTTGTTGTTCGACTTCTTGAAGCTTCAGCTTCTCTGAGGACTGTTTTTAAACAACTTATTGAAGATATCATACAAGAGGAGGACGGTCACCGCCCACTTTGCATAATCGGAGACATCTTTTTTGGATGGATGGCTGGTGTTGCCCAGGAGCTTGGCGTGTTTCATGCCGTGTTTAGTGGGGCTGGTGGGTTCGGTTTGGCTTGCTACTACTCCATCTGGTTAAATCTTCCTCACAAGGAAATAAAGCTGGCAGATAATCACTTTTTGTTGCCAGATTTCCAAGAAGCTTCGAAGATACACTTGACCCAGTTGCCTTTAACTATGTCAGAGGCAGATGGGACAGATTCGTGGTCGGTTTTCCATGGCAAATATTTGCCAGAATGGTCTAAATCTGGTGGGATTTTGTTCAACACAGTGGAGGAGTTCGATCATATTGGATTGATGTATTTTATGCGAAAGCTAGGTAGGCCAGTCTGGCCAGTCGGGCCAATATTGTTGTCAATCGAAAACAGAGCACGTGCTGGCAAAGAAGCTGCAGGAATCACACCTGAGTTTTGCAAAGCATGGTTAGACACAAAGCCTCAAAATTCAGTGTTATACGTCTCTTTTGGATCAATGAACACCATCTCTCCATCACAAATGATGCAGTTAGCCAAAGCATTGGAGGTAAGTGGCAAAAATTTTATTTGGGTTGTCAGGCCACCCTTAGGGTTTGACATAAATTCAGAATTCAAAGCCAATGAATGGTTGCCTGAAGGGTTTGAAGAGAGAATTAGGGAGTCAAAGAAAGGGTTGGTAGTGCATAAATGGGCACCCCAACTGGAGATTTTATCCCACAAATCTACATCTGCTTTCTTAAGCCACTGTGGATGGAATTCTGTGCTTGAATCTCTTAGCTATGGTGTTCCATTACTTGGCTGGGCTATGGCTGCTGAGCAGTTTTTCAATGTGAAGCTCTTGGTGGAAGAGGTAGGGGTTTGTGTGGAAGTGGCAAGAGGAAAAGCCTGTGAAGTGAATCATGAAGATGTGGCAGCAAAAATTGAATTAGTAATGAGTGATTGCGAGAAAGGAAAGGAGATAAGAAGGAAAGCTTCTCAAGTAAGGGAGATGATCAAGAATGCTATGAAAGATGAGAAAGGTTTCAAGGGTTCTTCAGTCAAAGCCATGGACAATTTCTTCAACGCAGCGAGGACTATGAGGGGACAGGCCCAGAAGCAACAAAACGGTAGATGTACCTAAAATTAAGGGTCAAAAAGAATGATTTTGTAGCAGTAACACGGTAAAAATGTTGGATGAAAGTATCCAAGGTTGGAAAAATGTATGAATACTCCCTCGTATTAGAAAGCCTCATGGGCATGTTCTTTTTCTCTTTTTCGGTTAGTAGATTTCAAAGTTGAAAATTAGCGGCGGAACCGCAATTTTCGTGATGCTGTTCGGTGTTTACGCCACTTTCAGTTCTTTTTTGAACCCGACATGACTTTGGTGCAGTTTGGCATCAATCAAAACAGATAATGACAGATGCACGAAGGAATCCTTCCATGCGGCCGAAAAAGAAGACAAATATGTGGTGGTTCCACGAGATGCATGACTTCCTATCCCAAAGGTTCCTAATTCCTACCTACATTCATTGAAGTTGCATCCAGAAACACTAGCTGGATAGGTTATCTGTTCACACTTGTGATATTTTTATTTTTAATGCTTTAGTCATGTGATATTTTTATGAGATGGATATGTCATGAAATAATAAACATTATATGTGACGTGTTCAATCAATATTTTTTTTAGAAATTAATGATTGGATGAAAAAAATTATTTAAAGTGTTAGAGATTAAATTAAAAAATTTAATAATTAAATGATATTTTACAAAGATTCATATAATTCATTGATTATTGATGTATTTTATCTATTTTTTTGATAATTTTATCGTTTAATGAAATGCCAAATGCAGAATGTGATGATAATAATCACATGACATGTTCGTGTAATAAAAATTAATTACTAGGCATAAAAAGTTAAAAAAAAAGTTTCACATAAATTATTGGGGCAAGTGGCAACTCTTTCTTTTCTTTTTTCTTTCTTTAATTGGGGACTTGTTTAAAATAAAGAAATAAAAAAAAAGTGTGCCTGTTGGTTGGTAGTTTGAGGAGAAGCCATGAAGTTTCCCTCTCGTGTTGCACATTATATATATATATATAAAATCTTTTTATATATTGCTTATTGGAGTAACAAAAAAAAAAGGGAAAAATGAAAATTATATTATTTTATTATTATACACTTTGAATTAAAAAGCTATACATTTGAAAAAAATAATAAGTAAAAAACCATTTTGGACCATATTTTAATTTCCAACTAGAAAGGTAGTTGCATTATATTTACGCATATATTCCACAATTTTTAACTATTTGAATTTATAATATATTTAATAAAAGTTGTTGTTATGTTTTTTTTTTAATTATTTAAACAATTATTATGTTCTTTTTTATTGTTATTTTTTATTAATATAAGAAACTAATTTTTTAATTTTAATGATATGATTTTGTAAATTATTTTTATCATATGTCTTTAAAATTATTTAAAATAAATTCACACTGTGACATAATCTTGGAATCTCGCAAATACTTTGAAAAATATATTTTCAAAATTTTTTTAAAAATTTACTGTTGGGAGAATTTCAAACAATTAGTATGTTATATATTCTTTATTATTAGTTGATTTATGCATCTAACAAACTACATGATTTTCTTAATTTTAATTAAAAACATGAATAAACAAGACTAATAATAAATTGAAAATTAGATTAAAAAAACTTTTGAAATGGACTCGGGCTTTAATTTAGTAAATTAGTAAAACAAATTTAACATCATTATAAGTTTTTCAAATAACTAGTTTTATTATTTACTTTTCCACTCAACAAACTGAATAATTTTATAAACTTAAATGGGCAGCACAATGAGAAAAATTAATGAATTAAAAAAGTAAAAAGATTGAAAATTAAATGAAGAGAAATTCTAAATGAGGAAATCAGCCCATCTCCTTTTTTTTTTTTTTTTTTTTCACTCTTCCAAGTTCCAACACTAAAGATAAAAATACCCTTCAAAACCCTTTATCATCTCATAAGATACTTTGCTAATTTTCATTGTAGATAAGAATTAATATACTTTAGATACTAACTCATGTCTCATTCCTTACCTAATTTTTTTTTTTAATTTAGAACCAATTTTCTTAGGTATTATTGAATAAACTAGAGAATTTTAACAATAAAAAAATATAGTACTGAATTTTAATTACAAAAACTGTTTGGCTTTTTATTAATAGTTAAATACTAAATATAGATTTTTATTGATTTTTTAAGTGTTTTATATTAGTGAAAGTTTGAAATAAAAAAATTAAAAAGAAAAATAAAATTAATGCAATTAAATGAAAACTTTTTAAATAAGAAATAATTGAATACATTAAATAACTATTAATGAACATTTTCCATAAGTTTCATCGAAAATTCTTTCATTTAAGATGTTTTTAAAATAAATTATCCAATATATTAAAATAATTAAGTCATTGAAATTTTTTAATAATTTATCAAACAATCTTAATTCCATTAGTTCGGTAAAAAAAATATTATCTTTATTTTCTTTGCTCCCACTTTTGTCAACCGAAGTCTAAGAAAACATGAGTATTATTATTTTATTCCCTTTTTCCAAACTCATTCTCTTAAACTCATTCTCTTCTAAAGAAGTTGGTGTTTGATGCAACTAATAGACAAGCATCATTCTACAAAGGTTGACGTCACAAACGATCATTTAATTATAGTAAAATATTTAAATTTTAAAATTTTTAATTTAATATTTAAATTATGAATTTATTAATTAATATCATAATTACTTATAACATCGTTAGACACGCAATTGACAAATAATCTTTTAAATACGTTATCAAATTTATAATTTAAGTGTTACATTAAAACCTTAAAATCCAAATATCGCAATAAATATTTCACTATAATTCAAAGCCATATGAATCATTATTCTTCTATAAAACCTACATCTCGAGGAGAACGCAAGCAGGGTGCCCAAGAAGATATTCAGTATAATATCTTTCAATAAACAAGAGTGAGTTAAGTTCAGATTACAAGTCTTAATACACTCAAAATTGTAAAAGATTACATTTTACCAATTACCTTTTTGAGTAGACCCACTCTGTATACAGGTAAGAATATACTATCAATTATTCTCTTCAGCCTGTATGTAAATTTTCCAGTTATGGTTTTGATATGAGGTCCAATTAGACCATGGAGAGATTACAACAATATTAAGACACCGTTGAACTTCCAAAATCGCTCCACCAAAAGCTGACTGAAAAACTTGTTGTTAAAGATCGCACATAATGCCACCATTTTGGTGGGATATAAAGCATTTCACCTTCCTCTAAAATGCAGTCTAGAAATTCTATGTCACGCACCTTTGGAAACTCTACCTCATCTATGTTGTCGAGATCAACCTTCAAACAAATGATCTTTTTTTTAATATTAAGGGGCAAAAAGAGAGAAAGAATCAAAACTCCCCCTTAAACTGCCTGACATAATAATGGAGGAGACCTATTGACGGAGTTAACTAGCGGTACTTATCCAAAGTAGATAAATAAACAGCTTAAATGAAGGCCTATAAAGATCTTGATGAATCCAGAAGTACTTTTACAATGTTTTCTTTCAGCCTAACAAATTGATTTTTACAGCCCTAACATTTTCATAACAGTTAGAGATATCAAAATTTTTAGGAAAGAAAAAGGCAACATAGCACACCTATGAACAAAAAGCTATTATTAGAGGAAGCATTTCTTTATCATTGGTACAAGACAAGCTTCTTCTAACCTAATCAATGGAGTGTCTACTCAGCTGTAAATTAACAGAAAAAATTTATCCTCAGATAGCAGCGAGAAATCTAAGACAATATGACTTAAGTTGAAAAATAACAGATGTAAGTTAACCTAAAATCACGGCCAAGCCTTGTCCAGAAAAGGTGGTTAATATGACACTAGATATGCACATTGGACTCACCATGATAACAGAAAAAAAAAAAAACGAAGGTGATTAACCAACAGAGTAGTAGATAACTCAATAGGCAGCCAAGGTGTTTCCATGTCTGAGTGAGAGAGTGTGTTTGTGCACGTCTTAAGAGACTACATGGATGAATCACTGGGATATAAGTTTATCATGAAAAATATCAGGTTAACTCTTGCAGTAAAGTTCATCAATCCAAAAGAGGGGAACTACTAATCAGCTACCTGGCTGGAGTTGTTGAGCATAGTTTCGCTGTATGGGTAAAGCTCCTCGTAATATGAAGCAGAGTAGAGTCTCACATACTTTTTCCCAACAACCTGAAAATAGGGAGCACGATATTGATTTGAGGAAAAATTAAATCCATAGACAGGTTTAAACAGGACCTACTACCCACCAACCAATGCGCATAGAAAATGCAGTATAAGGGAAATGAAAATTGCCAGAAAATTGCCATTAAAAAAAAAAAAAAGTTCATGCCAGAGTCATTATAATCAAGCATGTTAAACAGTGAAGAGCTACAATTAGCTATTTGAAGCAATACACCTCAAGAGAAGTATAAAGTGGACCATCACCAATGAATTATCAATGCTCGTGAATAACACATCTCAATAAGCGCTATGTGCTACCGCAATTCAGATTATTACCCTTTCCCTAAAGGAGATAATTGAGTGAAGGTCTCTTAGCATGGTATGTACACTAAGACATGTGACCCTACAGATGATTTGGGGGTTACTGGAAAGCAAGTTAAAATTTGAAACTTAATTGCTTATATTTATTTAAAAGGAAAAGTGGAAGAGGAAATGGATTAAAACATTTCTAATTCCATGCAAGCTAATTCACACCAAATGTGTTTAAATGCGTTTAAGGACCCCAAATGAAATTTAGCAATCTGGACATCCAATTTTGCAAATACTCCAACAGACCCAAAACTGAAGCAGAAATGAAAAGCATGATGACCTAAATATATCAAAAGGCAATAATGACAATATACAACAATGTTGATTAAGATGATTTCCTCGATCATGGAAGAAAATATCCCAGTGGAACAATTCATTTTAGGACGCCCTTAACTGCTGCTACTCATTATTTAAATAAAAACTGGAAATTCTCTTCTGTGATTGATCCAATAGAACAGTAAGTAGTTACTCATTTTCAAAACTAAAACCACTTAGAACTTTACTGATTTGATGCCTATTATACACATGAGTACATAATGCATAAAATAATAGCACAAGATAGCGTGTAAATGATAGTTTAACTCAGTAAGTGTGAGCAGAACGTCTAGATTGGACATCTATCAGAAACCAACCAAGCGGTGACAAAAGGATGATATGTATTATTATACTGAAACTGGTCTATGCATAATTGGTTACAGTATACAAAATAAATTGTTATCATAGGAAACTTAAGAAGAATCAGCCACCTGTCCCAACCAAAAGGAGAAAAAGTCAGAGCCATTAATATGTATTGCAGCACAGGTAAGACAAGTTAAGCTACTACTAATATCATCTAAGCTCAAACATGGAGAACACACTCAACGTCTCAAATTGGTAGCTTCAGAGTTCTCCCAAAGTATTTGTCTTAAGCCACACGAGGTATTAAGGCAACTTCAGGACACCACAATTAACTTATACAATTTATTATGAATAAGCAATGCATGCATCCGATTGTACATTACCTGAGCAAGTATATTATGGTGTGGATCATGGTGCAAAGGTGTCACTGTCCCAGCTGGACCAAACCATGCATTGAGAGATCTCAGCTCACCACCACCTGCATAACAATAGTCAGGAACTGAAATGTCCTTCCGCAACTCATTTATCTGCCATTATTATATATTAGCAATAATGTAAAGGCTTTAGTACACAACAGTGAAATTAAATCTTCCAAAACGTAAAGTATAAGAGGAAAACACTACCTGATCAAACAATTGGTGTTGTGCAAGATAGGTGGGGACCTTACATCTGCAGCCATTAGATTGAACCCTCTCAAGAAACTGGGAAAATGTAATAAGCTCTTGCTTCCACTCTGAACATAAGTAGTTTTTCCCAACCTGAAAAGCATTTCAAACTTTACCAGCTGTCAGTTAAAAATTAGGAAGTAATTATTTTTGCATCAATTATTCTTGCCATAAATAAATAAATAAAATGAAATGGAACTAAATAGCTTTCAATAATACAACCTCCATCATTACTAAGAATTCTTAGTGACAATAAACAGGTAAGAAAGATAAAAATAATTTTACAATTTTTAAAGACTTTAGTTAACCTATTCTTTTGGTTCATTGGATATGCAGGAGCTGAGGCTAGAACCCATCCCTGCAGGAAGTCAAGCCCCTAAAGTGGGTTGACAAACCATCAAGGCCAACCCCTAGGTTCCTTCAGTTAACTAATCATTTTTGAAATCAAGAAAATTATAAAAGAGATTTTAGTACAGCACTTCTTTTTTTGTTTTGACACTCCTTACATCTTTGAAGAATAAATGAAAAAAACTTGTTTGGCTCATCATAGACCCAACTGAGATGGTCCTATTTCCGAAAGATTTATCCACCAAAGAGAAGATCTGAAGCTTTTAGTCCATTCTTGTTCAATGGATTACAGTTATTAAGAATCATATTACCTCACAAAGGCTTCCATTTCTCATATCATTTTCCTACAAAACTGCCCAAGAAATACACCTAATCACATGATAATTAGTCAAGCACAACCAAGGAAGTGAGAAAAGTCATAAGCTAACTCACAGATTAGAAAGGGTTTGGTTAGGGAAAAAAAGCTTGAATATTTGCAAACACTGGGTGCACGAGCCCACTAAATTGGCTGATTGTGACAAGGTAAGTACATTGTAGCTCTAGTTGAAATACTGTTCTTGCCATGGATTAAAAATTTAGAATCAAGGTGTAGAAGGAAATTTGGATACAAACTTGACAACAAAGGCTCTATCCACTAAGGATTAAAAGTTCAATATGAATACACTCAAACATCCATCATTTAGTAACCTGAAAGTCAGTAAACCACTCCCAGCTATGTGGCTCATGGGGCCTAATGATGGAGTAAACTAATTACAAGATCCGCAAAAGAAATAAAGCATCAGGATCTTTAATCGAGCAATAGCTTAATGAGCATATGAATACATGATTTGCCTTGGGAAACAAACTAAAAGTATCGAGATCCATGTAAGATACATCAAATGAGTTGCAAACCGCGTTAAATTATCAAGACCCACATAAGATTGTGTGGGAAAACATTTATTTACAGCTGGTTGTAATCTTGTAATTTGTATATTTATATTTGTATCTCTAGAATTAAGTATTTGTATCCCTAGAATTAAGGACAAAAAATTAGGATAGACAATCCCTCAATTATAAGATCAGTTTTAAGAAGATTTAGTATCCTAATTTACCCACTAGTTAGTTGTATATAAACCTAAGGGGCTTGTATAATTCTTTATGAGCAGTTTTTCAATATACATTCAGTTTTATTCATAGTATTCTACACCATTTTATTTCTTAGTTTTTTCACATGGTATCAGAGCTTTAGGCTCTTCTTGGGAAGAAAACTTTTTTAGCTTTCATTGCTGAATTCTATTTCAGGCCTTCGTAGCCAAATCTTGTTAAATCTTTCAATCTTATTTTATCCTTCTTTGGCCTTAATTGCCTAGAATCGTCTCTGGTTAAACCTTTACTATCAAGACTCATTTCAATCATGAGAAAGATAACCATGCAAGAGATAGCAAAATCTATCACTACTACTCGATTTGAAGAAGTGACAACTGGTAAAACCACTAGAATACTACAGAAGTCTCAAAAACAAAAAGAGTTGGATAGAGAAGAGATTGAAAAACTAAGAACCCTATTGAAAACTCTTGAAAAACCTACTGAGATTTGTCTTTGGGTAAGGTCTCTAGTTCAAATAAAGCTCCTGGTTCTCATGGATTAAATGTCTCGATTAAGCTTATTATGAGTTCTTAGGTCATTAATTCAGAAGCTACAGACCATATGACACATTCTTCACAGAAATTTAGTACATATACCCTATGTCCTAGTAATAAGAAAATTGTTGCTGCAAATGGTTCACTTACTACAGTGGCAGGATTAGGAGATGTTCAAATTAATCCCTCCTTTGTTCTTAAAAATATTTTTCATGTTCCAAGATTGTCTACTAATTTGATATTTATACAAAAACATACCAGAGACATGAGCTGCAAAATAACTTTTTATCCTTTCTATTGTGAATTTTAGGACCAGAGTACGAGGAAGAGGATTGGACTTGCTAAGGAGAATGATGGACTATACTATCTTAAGACATCAAACCACACAAATAATATCAAGAATAGTTTACCTTTATCATTTCTTTTTGAAAAATCTCCCAATAAAGACAAAATCTAGCTTTATCATTTTCGTTTTGGACATCTTTCTTTTGGAACTTTGAAAAACATGTTTCCTTTTTGTTCAAAAGATTAAATACCGAAAATTTTCATTGTAACGTTTGTGAACTTGCAAAGCATAATCGTGTGTTTTTCTAGTTAGCAATAAAAGAAATTCAACTCATTTTTACTTGATTCATAGTAACATATGGGGTCCTACAATTCCTAATATTCTTTGTGTAAGGTGGTTCGTTTCTTTCATAGATGATTGTACTATGATCTCTTGGATATTTTTACTTAAATCCAAATCCGTTATGAATAGTGTGTTTTTAAGCTTCCAAAACATAATCCAAAATCAATTTGAAGTGAAAATCAAGAGATTTAGGTCAAATAATACAAGAGACTATTTCAACCAGAGTTTATCTACCTATTTCCAAAATGAAAGGATTATACATGAGTCATCTTGTATTAATACTTCACAGCAGAATAAAGTGGCAGAGAGGAAAAATAATCATTTACTAGCTACAACCCAAGCTTTACTTTTTTAAGCAAACGTACCCAAATCCTATTGAGGAAAGCTATTCTCACTGCCACACGTATTATAAATAGGTTTCCTTCAAGGGTTTTAAGATTTAAAACTTCTATGGAACTACTCTCACAATTCTATCCTAACTTTAATACCAAAAACAACTTCACACCTAAGATATTTGATTGTCATCATTTGTTCATGTTTACAGTCATAATAACAGAAAGTTGGATCCTAAAGCAATTAAGTGCATTTTTGTGGGGTATTCATCAACTCAAAAAGGATATAAGTGCTATCATCCTCCTACCAAAAAATTCTGTGTCTGCAAATATCACTTTTGAAGAAAATAAACCATTTTTTACTCAACCTTATCTTTAAGGGGAGACTTCATTCATGGAAGATAAGGATAAAAACTTCTTTTTGCTTGACTTGTCCTACTCTTCAACATTTTCACCCATTAATTCTTCTGAGTCTAAACCTATTTCTTTTTAGTCCAAGTCAAACACTGAATTTGAGTCTGAACCCATTCCAAACACATAAGATGTGACAAAGACTAATATTGTTTTTGATTCTATGAAGGAATTACAGGTGTACTCAAGAAGAAAAGTTCCAGATCCTGAACCAGTGCAAGTCCAAGAACATGATCCTAACCCTAGAAAAGAGGTAACTACAGTTTTTGACTCTGTTTCTCAAAATGAGCATGAATCTCCTAAAACTATAACTAGTGATTATGATTTGCCTATTGCCGTTAGGAAAGGAATCAGAGAATGTACTAAGCATCCACAATACCCAATCTCTAATTTTGTGTCATTTGAAAAATTCTCACCATTTCACAAAAATTTTCTTATGAGCCTAAACACTATTTCTATTCCGACTACAATATCTAAGGCATTATCTAGTGAGAAATGGAGGCAGGCCATGAAAGTAAAAATAGAGGCCTTAGAGAAAAATAGGATATGAGAACTGGTAGAGTTGCCTAAAGGAAAAAATCCAGTTGAATGTAAATGAGTTTTCACTATAAAATACAAGATGGATGGTACTATTAAAAGGTATAAAGCTAGATTGGTGGCTAAAGGCTACACTCAAACTTATGAAGTAGATTATCATGAAACTTTTGCTCTAGTTGCAAAGATGAATACAGTTAGGATTTTGTTATCATTGGCTGCAAATTACAATTGACAACTTTAACAATTTGATGTAAAGAATGCTTTTCTACATGGTGATTGGGAAGAAGAAATATATATAAAGTTTCCACCAGGATATGGAGGTTATCTAAAAGCAAATAAAGTATGCAAGTTGAAAAAGGCTTTATATAACCTTAAACAGTCTCCTAGGACTTGGTTTGGGAGATTTGCCAAAGTGATGCTAGTAATGAGATATAAGCAGAGTCAACAAGATCACGCATTGTTTATCAAGCACTCTAATTCAAGTGGAGTCACAGTTCTATTAGTGTATGTTGATGATATAATTGTAACCAGAGATAATGAAAAAGAGAAAAAACCTTTAAAACAATGTTTGGCTAGAGAATTTGAGATAAAAGAATTGGAGAGATTGAAATACTTCCTAAGAATTGAAGTAGCTCATTCACGACATGGTATGTTCAACTCACAACTGAAATATGTGATAATTCTTTTGAAGAAAACTACGAAGCTCATATGTAAACCTACAAATACCACTATAGGTCAAAATAATAAACTTGGAAAAACTAATGAAAATGCTGCTATAGATAGAGAGATGTACCAGAAATTAGTTGAAAGACTCATTTATCTTTTACATGCTAGACCTGATATAGCATATGCTATGAGTGTGATAAGTCAATTTATGCATAGTCCTAAAGAAGTGCACCTATAGGCTATCTACCGTGTATTGCACTATTTGAAAGCCAATTGTGGAAAAGGTATCTTATTCAAAAGAAATTTGGGGCTAATCTAGAGGTATATACAAATGCTGATTATACAAGTTCAGTAACTGAAAAAAGATCCACCTCAGGCTACAACACTTTCCTAGGTAGTAATCTTGTGAATTGCAGGAGTTAAAAACAGAATGTGATAGCCAGATCAAGTGTTGAAGTAGAGTTCAGAGTAATGGTTCAAGGAATTTCCAAACCACTATGGTTAAAGATTATCCTAGAAGACTTGAAGATCAAGTGGGATAGACCAATGAGACTCTACTGTGACAACAAGTCTGCAATAACCATTACACACAATCCTATGCAACATGACAGAACAAAACATATTGAAATAGACCGGCATTTCATAAAGGAGAAACTATACAGTGGGTTGATTTGTACACCATATGCATCAACCAAGCGTCAACTTGCATATATGTTGACTAAAGATCTCAGCAGTGCAACATTTCAAGAAATTATTTCCAAGCTGAGAATGGAAAACACTTATTCTCCAGCTTGAAGGGAAGTGTGGGAAAACACTTATTCATAACTAGTTGTAATCTTATAATCTGTATATTTATATTTGCATCTCTAGAATTAAGTATTTGTATCCTTAGAATTAAGGAAAAAAAATTAGGATAGACAATTCCTCAATTATAGGATGAGTTTTAGGAAGATTTAGTTTCTTAATTTACCCATTAGTTAGTTGTATATAAACCTAAGGTGCTTGTATAATTCTTTATGAGCAGTTTTTCAATATACATTCAGTTTTACTCTTAGTTTTCCACAATTTTATTTTTTAATTTTTCCATAGACTGCACCTTAGCTTAAATGTTGGGAGTAACCAATTAACATCGGTAACAGAGTAAATATTCTCAGTTAAGTGACTTAATATCATGCCCTCAAATATCCCACAATCAGAGTAACACTTAAAACTTTAAACTAATTGAAAAATAAAATGCCAAAGACTGTTTTAAACCAATATATATATATATATATATGTAGGAAGATATGAGTTTTAAAATATTTTTTTGAAGCAAACAGAGTAGAAAAGAGCATTGTTGCAACTTTGGCCTCTACTGAAATTTCATAACAATAATAGGAAGATTAATCACCTCAACTGGAACTGTACGATCACCAGCAACCCTTCTTAAGTAATCCACATCATTCCACCTTGTCCTGGCTGGCCAGTGAGCCATACAATCAGTAATTATAACTGGAGAACCTGAAAGGAAAGCGTCACGTAGAAATCCCTCCAAAGAAAGGGCGGACCTCTTTCCCACGATCTTAGAAGACAAGGACCCTATTGGTAAAATTCGTAGTACCTACAGGATCAAAACGAAACAGAATCAGTCATTAAATTCAAATATCATACTACTATACCAATTTCTCTTTATCAGCAACATTCCAACCATCCTATTCATAAACAATAAGTTATGGCAAAAAGGAGCTAATCACAATGATTAAAAGGAAATTTTATATACATATATATATATGTATATTAATATATAAAGTGAAGAACTAAAAAAATGATAAACGGGCGAGTTACCCTGTTTTTACTTAAGTAATCGGTAAAAATAAACACTAGATATAGCAAATATACCCAAATACAACTTATACCCTTTTGGAATTGGTAAGTGTGAGTGTGTCTTACAAAGATACTCTTCCCCATTTCCCTGTGAACATGTCTGTATGTCAAGGTTATTGCTCATTCTCAACAAAATAAAAATAAGAAAAAAGATTGCAATATATAATAGAATACATATAATAACAAGTTAGAAGTAAAAAAAGCTAGGTATTTGCAAGCATAAAATCCAAATTAATCACAAAGAAAAAAGTAAAACTCCTATGAAAATATCCTGGTTGTTTAGCCCATTGAAGGCATAAGAGTAAACGAGGTAAGAATCAAATGATCTATATATACTCAGAAAACAATAAAATGTTATAAATAGTATTTATAACAAACAAAAAGGATCCAAGCTCAAAGAGTTGCTCAATTTCAACATTTCTCCAAACACGCAGATCTCAAATGAACAAACAAACATGATAAACAAATCAAAAGAGAAACAAAAAGAAATAAAACCTAAACTAAATTCCAAAAGGCTAAAGATACAAAATTCTTTAGTATTATAAATGGGATCAGCCAACTGGACATTTAAACTCAAATAAATAAGCATAGTTTTTCACTTCAATCTCAAAAGCAACAACCAGAAGGAAGCTAGACTAAACCCATAAACCAATTAACATTATAACTATGCTCAACCAAATCTATGAACATAAATAAATCCGAGTGCACAAAATTACCAATTATGATTAATTATAAGATACTATTGTAACAAATGCTTTTTCATTTCAAAGAAGAAGAATTATTGAATACCAATTTCTTTCTATAAATATCACCTTTCTTTAACAATTTCCACCTTAGTAAGAACTAGCAGAAGAAATTAAAAAATGTAGAAATCAAACCTCACCTCGGACTTATCTAACTCCTCCGGACAAACCAGCAATCGAGAACCTGCTTTTTCCCCACCCTCATTGTCAGCATCAGCTCCTCCGTTATCATACTGTCTTGCTTTGGCGGCAGAAACGACTTCGATTGCCGAGTCCAAATCTTTCCTAAGCAAAGGACCGCCCATTATGATGCCCATGTCCAACGCCCTAAGAGCATCTCTGAACTCACCATTGGAGAAATGGAACTTTGCCACGTGGAGGCACGCCATAGAGTAAGCGTCACGCCAGACAGGGAGAACGGAGTGCCAAGGGCCGGAGTGAAGTTGCTCCCACGCCATCTCACGCGCCGCCTCGGCAGCTCGTAGGTCGCCGGCAGCGGCTAAAGTGGCCATGCGAGCATAAGCATAGCCTCCATGGGAGGTGATGGATTGGAGGAGGACAGAGGACTCGGTGTCTAGGGTTGGGGTTGAAATTGTGGTGGCGTTGATGCTGGCGGAGGACATGGGTGGCAGTAAGTGTTGCAGTTGGGTTACTTTTGGGGGAGGTATTTGGTGAAGAAGGTGGGGGTGAGAATCCACCTTGTAATGATTTGTTACAAGTAGATATTAAGGATATTTATAGTTGAATTCAATCATCTTTAATTAGTTAAAATCTAGAATTCTCTTTTCCTTTGATTAATTATCTAAAATTCAATATTATTATTTTGCTATCCGTGTAATGTATAAGTTATCTTGCTTTATTAATGCATTTTTAATTATTTTTTTAATTATAATTGAAATCATTTTTTAAGAGATTTGATTTATAATATAGCAAGTTAAAAATTATTTATCATTTAATTTAGTTATTTGTTATCTATTTAATAAAGTAAACATAAATAGTTTATGTGTGTAAAAAACTTTATCTTCGTAACTATACATAAAATAATTTTTAATTTTATGTTATTTATAAAATAAATATATTTAAAAATTATTAGTTATTCAAATTTTTAAAATTTAAAAGAAAAACAAAATCATATATATCTAATTATTTATTTTTGAAATTAATTTATAATTAAAATACAATGAAAAAAAATCCTATAAATCACAGTTAATTATAATGTTATTTCAAAAGTCACAAATTATTTTTTAATTTCAATTGTTTTTTTCTTGCCAAATAATCTTGTACACTTAAAGCTATGATAATATTAGTTATCATATGAAAAATGTATAATTTTATATCAAAGTTAAATAAATTTAATTCAATTAAACTAATTAAAATAAATTTAAAAAATATGTATTTTTAAATTTATATTCATGTTTGATTAATGAATATTTTTCAAAATTCAAGCAAAGGAAATAAAAAAAAATCACAAATGAACCATAATTGAATAAAATTTTTTAACTTTATTAAGAAGTAGACCTATTATTTAGTTGGATTTATGATTTTATACATAATTTTTTAAGTATGGATTCAAAATATTATATATTAAAAAATTATTTAATTTTAAATTTAAAATATATTTAATATTATAAAATTTAACATTTTAATAATAAATATAAATTGAATAGGTGATTAAACAGAATCTAAAATTTAAAAATATTTACAATTGAATGCCACCAAATTTATAGATACTTCTTAATTTTTAAATTCATATTTTTTTTAAATTATGTTTAAGAAAATATCAAATGTTTACTAAATGAAATTTGATTTAAAAAATAAAAAAAAATGACATCAAATTGTATTTTAATTTATCCAAAATTTTTTATAAACAAAAAAGTGTTATAACTTTGAAGAGGAAGAAGTATAATAGATTACAAATTTTTATACAAAATTATAATTGATGGGTTGATTATATTCTATACATAAATTATGACTGCAAAATCCAAGTAGTTTTTGTTATTTATAACAATATTTTTTATATAAATAGTAAGTTCAAATCAATGTAATCAAGTAGACTATTAATGAAAGTATTTTTGCATATTGTAAGAAACCTAAATTAAAAGAAAAATATATATTACCTAATTGAGTGAAGAGTTAAATATAAAAAAAAAATGCTTATAGACAGTATCTACAAAATAAAAAAATAAATATTTTTTGTAACTTTGCATCTTATAATATATGAAAAAAGAAAGCCAATGGAAAGAAAAAAATATTACCTAATTGAGTGAAGAATTAAAAGTAAGGAGAAGAGACTCGTAAATAACATATACAAAATATAAGAATATATGTGTTTATATAACTTTATATCTTATAATATATAAAAAAAATAAAATCAAAGTTAAAGACTGTGGGCTTCCCATAAATATCTAAAAGAGAAAAAAATAAAATACTTCTATAACTTTCACTTTTTAATATAAAAAGAAAAGGTAATACAAAATTAGAGAGCACTGACAAAAAAAAAATCAAATTGATGTTAACGAATGATATTAAACAATCATCTATAAATTATTAAAAGATTAAATTAGATCATTTTAAATAATAAAAGATTATTATGAAATCTATTATGATAAAATTATATTTGATATTTTTAAAATTTAAGATATGTATAAAAAATTAATTTTAAAAAATAAAAAATATATATTATTGTCCTAATTGAAAATAGTAACTGGAGTTTTTTATATTCTACAAACAAACTTTACAATTATTAATATTATAAATTTAATTATAAAGACAACAAAAATATAAACATTTCAAAATGTAACATTCATTATAGATAAAGAACAATTGTGCTTTTCCACTGCTATTTGTCCATTTATGACTAATCAACTAATTATTAGAAAATTAATTTTTAAAAATAAAAAGATATATTTAAAGGTGTAATTAACAAATAAAGATTATTTTTTTAGTAAAAAGAAAAACTTTGGATAATTTAAAATTTTCAAATAAATATATCTTAAAAAGATTTGGATAACCAATAATTTTTTAAATACATTTATGTAATCCATAAATAAAAAAATAAGAATTAAATTTACTTATTTAAATAAAATCTTACCAAAATAAAAAATAATAATTTTATCCCTTTAATTATTTTAAATCTAAATTGATTTTTCATTTAAATTTTAAAATTTTTGGATAATTAAATAAATTTTGAAATATATTTTTTGATAAAAAGTCTAAAATTAAAAAATATTCTATATATCATTATAGAGAGAAGTTTTAGTAATTTTCTTATATGTCGAAAAGAAAAACTGTCCACGTAAATGTCCATATTAGTAAATCTTATCTAGTAACTATGTATATTGTAATATAATTATATTATATTAGTCATGTTTGATGTATAGGATTATTGATAGGATATGATAATAGTCGTCCTATATCATATTTGATTTGTATTTAAAAAGAGGAATAAAGATTACAAGGAAGATTAATATCTTCTTGGCATAAGATTATTTAATCATTTCCTAGTGGAAAGAATTATTTTTAATTTATGAAATTAAACTTACATATTCAATTATACCATTAAAAGTTATATTAATAATTTAAGTTGCATAAACTTTGAAGAAAGATGATTTTGACAAATAAATAAATTAGTATATCCTAATCATTGCATACATTAAACACCAAATGTGATTATATTATTTAATCTAATCTTATTTACAATATCATCTTATATTATCCTATCATGATATTATATACCAAATATGACCTTAATATATATATGCTACAAAATGCAATAAAAATCTAAACTTCTTAAAAAAAAAGGTTAATAGCACGCGTGGTCCCTAAATTATGGGTCAAATTTTATATTGGTTCATAAACTTTAAAAAGTTCTAATTGAGTCCTTAATCACCCAAACATGTGTCAATGTAATGCTTTCATCTGTTGAACCGTCTAAATTGACAATAAATCCTATGTGACATTACATATAATTTGAACAAGTTGTATTATGTAGAATTTTTTAAATGTCAGCTAAGCAAATAAAAAAAGCAAAAGAAACTTTAATGTCCACTTAAAAAAAATAAGAAACTTGTGAGATCTTATCAATGTTTCAGGTGTTGAAAAGAAAGGAATGAGTTGAAGGTTGAAAGTAAAAAGCTACGGGTTATTATATGAAAGATATAAGCTTATAAGAAATCCATTTTCTCAAACCTATTTTTAGTCCTTTAAAAATTTTTGACCTAAAATCAACCAGGGAAGAGTCCAAAAATACCATAGTTGAAATAAGAGAAGAGCTTATGGTTTTTCCAACAGGCCAAAACCAAAACCCTTGTTCAAGAACAACACATTTTTAGTCCCCTTGAAAACCCACTTCCTAACATCTTTTCTTTTTGGAACAACCTTCTTTTGAGCCCAAAAATCTGCCTTTAAGTATTAATTTTCATAAATGGAGATGCAGGGCAAAGAATTGATCCACATGAATTGAGAAGATGATTGTTTTGCATGAATCAACATGGAAGAAAGCTAGTATCTATGAAGCCATCATGAATTCAGCTTACTAAATCAAGAAAAATAATGATTTGGTTCTTAGTTTAGCTGAGAAATAATGTTATGAGACCAAAACTTTCATTTTTTTTCTTGAGGTAAAGCTAATGTTACACTTGAAGATGTCATGATCTTGGGGGGTTTCTCTGTTTTGGGTTTAGGGACATTAAAGTTTCTTTTACTTTTTTTATTTGTGTAGTTAGCATTTAAAAAATTTCATGTAATACAACTTGTTCAGATTATATGTCATGCTATGTAGAATTTACCATCAATTTAGATGGTCCAACAGACAGAGAGACCACATTGACACACGTTTGGATAAATAAGAACTAAATTAGAATTTTTTAAAGTTTAGAGACTACACGTGCTATTAACTCAAAAAGAAATCTACGCTTCTTTAAATGTTCATATTATCATTTTTTTAATAAAATATAGTGTTATTTTTAATAAAAAGTTTGGTTCTTATTTATTGAGAATGAAATTTTTTTACGCTATAAACAAAACTAAAAAATTATCATATATAAAGATATTTTTAATTTTTATCACTATAGCTTAAAGGATATGTGACAAACAGTGAAATTTAAAACTATGCTATTAATATAATTGATAATTTCTCTTTTTATTAAACTTTATTTTATAACTTCATATAATTTGAATAATGAGATATTAAATTTTAGTCCTTCAAATTTAGATTATTCTATCATTGTTTCTATGATGAGGTCCAAAAACTTCTAAATTTTTGTATTTTTTATTAAACCTAGAATTGGAAGTTTGAAGAAGAATGATTTTGCATTAAAATTTGTTTTACTGTATAAATAAAATTATTCTTATTTTAGAATTTCCATTTAAATTATGAATGATATAATTGTACAATAATATAATAAAAAACTTAATTAATTTTCCTTTCCATTTTTTACTAAACAAAACTACCTAATCTTTCCTTCCCTTCCTCTTGTTCAAGTTGTACAAATGATCATTCCCCTCTTTTATTCTTCCTTAAGTGATGGTTGGTATGTGAAACATAATGCCCTTTCTTGACAAGTTAATTAGAGGAAAGGAGATTGCTATATATGGTATTTTTCATTTTTAACCTTGGCCATCACAATTCTCACCAATGAAGGGATATGTGATTCTCTTGTTTCTTTTCCTTCCATTTCTTTCGTGTTGTCAAACATGTGGTTAGTGACAAATAAATGGCTTCATTTTATTAAAAAAAAAAAAGATTACATTGGTAAGT